CTCTTTGACCTGAGCCAAAAGCTCATCTCGTCGATTCTGGCTCATGACGAGCCTACAGGGTAGGGCAGAACTGCTCCATAGGGTTTCCAAGCTGTAAATCTTTACCAGAGCAGCTGGTGGGTGTGAACCGCGTACCTTTTGGTTAGCAGCTCAATGTGTAACCACTGTACCACCAGGACTCCTCGGAGCCGGGGACCCACAAATTCCCCATACTGACTTCTCTAACCACCCCTTCCCCCTCCACCACCACCACCACCACCCACCCCGGCAAGGCCTGAAGCTTTGGAAAGCCATTTTCCCTCACCTCAGGTAGTTCCCCTACAAACTCCCCTGGAATCCCGTTGCCTTCACCCTTTCTCACCACCCCAAAACACCCCTGGGAGTTCCCTTTTCTGCGGTCCCCTCCCCCCACAGCTTGTCTGGGAGACTCCATGCCAGCCCCTCCTCCACCAGCATCTGTCCGCTTGCCCACTCAGTGATGTACTGAGGCCAGCAGGTCCTACAGAAATCTCCTCACACCCTGTGTAGCCTCAGGGACTTGACCCCACCCCACTGGGACCCCTTGGTCCCCTTAGGCCCTGAGTAGAGTGGTGGTAGGTGTGGCTCCCTAGGACAAACGGGAAGCAGGCCCCAGCCAGGTGGTGGGGAGAAGGCACTGGGGCCTTTCACATCTGGCCTTGGAACCTCCCCAGCCTCAGTCTCCATTCCCCCACCCCCACCTCTGCCCTTGGGCACTCTGTCAGCTGACCCCTCCTGGAGAACCTCTCTTGACTTTCCAGGCAGATGAATCAGCTTCCACTCACTGCCATGGTGGTGATGTCAGTCTGACCGGCACAATAGTTAGGTGGGCTGGGTCTGTCCCTCCACTCCCCAAGGGAAGGAACAGTGTCTTAGTACATTATCACCCCTCAGCACTCGGGGGGAATGGAAAGAAAGGGGGTTGGGGCTCAGACTGACCCAGGTTTGATCCTGGCTTCCCCACTCACTCAACTCTGAGATCCTGAGCCTCCCTGAACCTCAGTTTCCACATCTTAAAAATGGGGATAATTTCTGCTTGATAAGGTGGCTGAGAAGATCAAAATAAAAAGTGTCTGGCCCTTTAATCATCACTCATAAATTCTAACTCTTGATATAGTATGTACCTGGCAAACATGGAAAATTGGCTTGAAAAGTTTGTATTCATCTTGTCATCTGGGTCATTTTGGGGGAATTATCAAGGAGAGGCATTGGCTTGGGGATCCCAACTCCCCAAAGATCCTCTGAGTCCCAGAGGACAGTACAATTATGACACAAGGCCTGGGGACCCAGTGTCAACCTGGGCCAGCCTCCCCCGGGCATGTCTCAGGATGGAGGGCCACCATCTTGAATATGGAGTCCCAGGAAGGGGGGTGGTATCTGGCCAGCCCTCTTGGCTGCCACCTCTCACCCTATCCGTTTGGAAAATGCATTTCCAAGAAAGCAGGATTCTAGGGTGCTCTCAGTGAGTCAGTGACTCGGTCTCAAGATCCTGAGACCAACATCTACCTTGACTTTTGGAGACACCCCCCCCCCAAGATGCTGTCATTAAAACCAGGAGGGCTTAGACCCCCATCCCACCAGCCTAAGGGGCTCCCTGTGGGTCCCTGAAGTCAGCCCCAGATCTCACCTTATAGCTGGCACCATAGTAATAGCTTATTGGTCCAGCCCTCCAGTCCTTCATGAGCCTGTCTGTGGCCTTTATAACCTCATTACCTAAGTCAGCTCTCAGCATGTTTTGAGTTGTGAGGTAAGGATTTGCATGTCCACAGAATGACTGCAGGCAGACAACTCACCCCTCTGAGCTCGTTTCCTACCCTGCAAAGTGCAGATAATCATCTCCTGCCTGCATCTCAGGGTTGTGGGGAGTCAAGTCCAGGGCCATACTGGATGTAAGAATGCTGTGTAGACTGTAAATCCAGGTGGAAGGTGGGTCTTCGTTGACAGGTGAGGACAGAAGCCACAGGCAAGCAGGCAGGCCAGGCCACTTGCCCAAAATTATGGCATAATTTCAGGATTACGATTGAGGGATTTGAGGCCCTAATTCAGTGCTTTTCTGTTTTCTTTTCAAACTATCCATTAAGTGAATATACTCTCCTTATCAAAAACTTAAAAATAAAATGAAGCTAAATGTTCTTCTTGACTGTCTCCCTCAATCCCAGTCCTTTTCAGAGGGAGCCACGGTTGTCAATGTGAAACTTACCCTGCCAGGCCTTGTTCATGCATTCCATCCAAGCATGGATTCCACAAATATTTCTGGGACCCTGCTGGGGGCCAGGTGCTGGGGCTCCAGGGGACATAGGAATGGACAGACAAGGCCCCTGTCCTCATGGAACTAATATTCTAGTGGCAACGAGGCAGTGAACAAAGAATCAAAAAAGATCATTTGAGATGGTGATCAGGGCTAGGAAGAAAACAAAGCAAGACGCTGTGATGAAAAATGATGGGGACAGTCAGGGCAGCCCGAGAAGGCCGCCTTTGAGCTAAAAGACAAGTAAAGCCAGATAGCAAAGATCTTGAAGACATGCATCCAGGGAGAGGGGACAACTAGGACAAAGGCCCTGGGAGAGAAAGAGTTTGCTGTTTTCAAGTATAATAAGATGCACGGAGTGGTATGAGGTGAGGTCCAAGAGGTGGACAGAGGGGAGACTGTGTAGGGACTTCTAGACCAAAGAGATGGTTTTGCTGTCCGCTCAGCAGGAAGTCATTGTTCAGTCTTAGGGAAGTGATACAATCGAATATTTTATTAAAGGTTCTTTTGGGCAAATGGAATATAGCAGGATAGGAGTGAATGCAGTGACACCAGTAGGGAGGCCACTGGAGTCGTCAAGGAAAAGAGATGAAGAGGCCTGGACCAGGGTAGGGCAGTGGAGATGGATGTACTGGGGACGTGTTGTGGGTGGGGAACCATCAGGACTTGCTGAAGGGTTGAATAGGGGCGTGAAGCACAGTCAAGGATGGCTCCAAGGCTTTGGCCTTCAACAGCTGGGTGGACCGTGGGGCCATTGGGCGAGATGGAGAAGGGCAAGGCACAAGCTTGCAGGGTAGGGAAATGACTGGTCTGTATTGAGCATCTGAATTGTCAGATTCAGACATCAAAGTAGCAGCCTCTGTCCCCAAGTGCTCACGGTCCATTGTGTGGGCTATTCAACTCCTAGCCTCCTTTGACATAGTGGCATGAGGTTCCACAGATCCTGGTGGTCCCTCAGTACTGCTAGATAAACTGACCTCCATCACAGGCAATGCCCTGCTCCCCAACTGCAGCTCCCTACCTTCTCCCCACCCTTCCCCCGAACAAGCAAGTTGAATGTCAGTGAAAGAAATGTTATTTCAAGTAGAGCTTGACTCCTTTCTAATGTATTGCAAGGTAAATCATTCACATACTTCTGTGCTTTAACAAGGTAACTCAGAGGCAAACCAACCAGCTCTGCTCACAGCAGTAGGGACCCAACACTGGGAAGGGCTGGCTGGTGTGGGGAGGGAGACAGGCCCATAGGCCACTCTGCATCCAGAAGAATAAGGAGCAAGGAAGAAGGAAGCCTGGGGAAACACAGAGCCCAGAGGAGGCCCCTGGCCAGTGCGGGGTCAGCCTGCCGAGCCTTTTACTCACTGTTCTTCTTGCCAACATGCTCTGCAGGAGGACTTTGAAGGAGGGAGGTGCAAAGGAAAAGATGAAAAAAAAATGGGGTTGAAAGAAGATAACATTTAATGAGCATTGGTGGAATGAATGAGTGAGGAAATGAATGAATGACCAGGACAGTTTACATTTCAATAGCTGGAGAACATCATGTTTGGAAGAGGGTCAGCGAAAATGTGGGAAGTGGCCCGAGATGGACTACAACAGAGTAGTGACTAGGGTCTTAAGGACTTGAGAGCAGCCATCTAGGTGCAACAATGTGTCTCTCCTCGTCCAGAGCAAAGAAGGAAGGAAACCAGAGACGCATGGAAACAATTAGTCCAGAGGACTAGTAGACCATGCGATCCTCAGCCTATATGACCATGAGACCAGAAGAACAAGATGGTGCCCAGCCACCACTGTCAACCACTCAGAGGGGGATCGGTGCAGGCGATCCTGGATAGAGTGGGAGAACAATGTGGAACAAAACTCAAAATCATTTTAAAAAGACACGTTTACTGGTCTGATAAAGCCTGTTGAGACCCCCTAGACTACGGCCCCTTCAGGTGTGGAACTGAACTC